TGAGGATTCCTCAATTCGGAATCCTTTCGAAGGGTTCCCTAACAAGGAATTCTGTACAAGGAACGCCTTCATCGGGAATCCTGAGCAGGCGGCTCCACAAGCCCAGATTTTCTAGCTGCTTGCGGAGCTCCCCCGAGGCCCAAAGTGTGGAGCCCTGGCGAAAGAATCGTAACCTGGGCTTGGGACTGTGGCGTCCGTGTTGCCCCTTGCGCGTCGGCCCTCGAGCCCTGCCGGAGCACGCGCGGGGTGGGCGGTGCTCCCTGGCTCCCCCGCCCCCGGGGACGCGGAATCCCCCCGAAGCCCAACGTGCGGAGCCCTCCCGAAAGAATCGCAACCTGACAGTTTTTGCCCGGCGGCGCATGTCTTGCGCTGCCTGGCGCGTCGGCCCTCCTCGAGCCCTGCGCGGGGTGGCCGGAGCTCCCCTGCCCTCCGGAGCCCCTTCTTTGAAAGCGGGCGTGCCCCTTCTACAGGAAGAAGGTTGGAAAGCAGTAGAGAACAAATAATACGGGGGCGATGTTTTCATTCTTTTTGACAATCTGTTTTGACTATCGCTGATTTTTTGCCCAAAATCCGCCTGTAGGAGGACATGCCCGACCCAACCCTACTTCTGCGCTGCACACGCCAAAACGATTTCTTATTGCCTCTTGAGCTCCCCCAGGGTCCAAAGCGCGGAGCCCTCCCCAAAGAATCGTGACGTACGGCTTTGCCCGTGGAGCCTGTCTGCTTCCCTTCCACGTCGGCACCTCGGGCCCTGCGAAAAGCTCTGACGAAAGAGCCGTGGCCTCCAGTGGAGGCCCGACCACAAGAAACCTTCCACAGGAAACCCAAACCTGAGACCCCAGGACGCCCATGGATTTTTTGTGTAAAAAACGTCTCGCTCTCCATCGCAGCGCCATCGAAACCCAAGAAGCCCCGGGGCACCCTGGCGGCAATAACGGTGTTCCCTGTGGGCCCCCGTGGGCCATGGCACCCGTGCCCCTTGCGCGACGGCGCCTCGGGCCCCGCCGGAGCACGCGCGGGGCGGGCGGTGCCTGCCCGCTGCTCTTCTGCGCCCGCGCCCCACAAGCCAACGCGACCGCTCCTGGGCCGTGGAGCCCCCCCACGAGGCCCAAAAAGCGGCGCCCGCCCGGAAGAAGCCCTGCCTGTGGAGCATCCGTGTTTGTTCTGTTGTTCTCTGGCCCTGCAGGTCGCCCCCCCCCCCCCCCCTCGAGCCCTGCCAGGAGCACGCGCGGGGGGCAGGCGGTGCTGCCCGGCTCCCCTGCTCCCGCGGCTCTGCAGGCCAGAGCGATCTGTTCTCGGCGCGCCAGGGCACCCGAGCCCAACGTGTGGAGCGCATCCGGAAGAATCGCAACCTGGACGTTTTGAAGGGGCCCTGGGACACACAAATAAATACACGCAGATAACAGGATTCCCTACATTTTCACATATTTCCTGGCTTTCGTTTCGTCTTCCCCCCACTTCCCATATTTTCCCATATCTTCCTGGGAATCGAGGATTCATTGCGTCTGTGTGTTTTTTCCCCTCCTGAATGTTGGCCTGTGGAGCCGTTTGCTTCCCTTGCGCGTCGGCCCTTCGGGCCCTGCCGCAGCGCGCGCGGGGATCGGGAAGTGGTCCCGTGCCCCGCGCTCCACGAGCAAGGACGATGTCGGTGTGCCTGCGGAAGCGTTGTCTTCGCCGTGCGCGTCGTGGTTCGGGCCTCGCGCGTGATTTCTGACATTCTTCGGCATCGCGTATGTCATGGCTGCATCCTCAACTGCGGCAAAATGCGCCTGTTTCATAGAAGCCAGCACTGGGCGTCGGAATGTGCGGATCCAACGCCGGCAGCGATCGAACTGGTGAGAGCGCGAGAGAGGCGGAAGACCTTCAGCTGCTACTGCCCGCTGAAGTAGAAGATGCGGGCTGCAGAGCTTGACTGGTGGCACCGTGCTCCTGGACATGAGCATGTATGGCCGTGATGTGTGCAGTCCGAGCTTGGAAGCAGTCATCTGCTCGTCGATCGGTTGGTTGACGCTCGTCGTCAGGATGCCGATCTGGACTGTGAAGCTAATCTGGACGGCGTTCGATATCTCCTGGATCTGCTGTTTCATGGTCTCCTGAAGCGTCGCTTGCATGTTGGCCACGGGGGTATCCATGCCCGCCATGGTCCTTGATCGAAGAGAGACTGCGGTCGGGGAAACCCCGAAGTGGCCGAAACGATGGAGTAAAACTGATCTAGTAAAAGGACCCGCGCGCGAGGGCCTCCTGTCGGCCAACGATCCTGGACCAACCCCTCGACCGCGACCAAATTCGAAGCGCCGAGTACCGCTTCGAACTTGAGCCAAATGGCTACGGATGATAGTCATGAGGAGGAGGAGGAGGAAGAGGAGGAGGAGGAGGAGGAGGGGAGGCGGAGGAGGGGGGGGGAGGTGGCATGAGGGAGGGAGGGCGGAGGAGGATGGGGGGAGGAGGAGGGCGGAGGAGGATGAGGAAGGGGCAGGAGGGAGGAGGAAGGGGGAGGGAAGAGGAGCACGCGAGGCTCCCCCAGCAAGCGGGAACGCGCGGGGAGCACTTTACCCAGCTGGGCGCCGCGCTGCCACGCCCAACGGCGCCTGCTCGCCCGCCAGGCTGCCGAGCAGGCGAGTTGGGGCGCCATCTCCTCCATCTGCTCCTCCTCCGGCAACACGTAAGAGGGGCCCTAGACAAGAGTGACCTTTGGTGCGCGGCTTGCCAGCCCTTGCGTGCGGTGCGATACGTAGTGCGATACACAGCCGTGAGAAAAGTTTCTCCCATTTGCCATGATGCTGATGATATCTCCTATCCCTCTACAGGTCCTTAGCATGACACGATGACTGCGCCATTCGGCGGAGTAGTTCCGACCCGTCCAAACTGCCTTGGAAGCTACTCCGCTCCAAACCCTACGAGTCATCGAGCGGGATGCGCCCACGCGCGGAGCAGTCGGAGCATTTCTACTCCGAGCTCATCCGCACCCAGGCGCTGTCGGCGAAGGCAGATGGCAAGCAACCTCCGTCACGGTGCTGTGGTGGCGGCCTGCGCGCGCTTGGGCCTGCGGCCTGCCGCGGCGCCCCCCGACGCAGCCGCGCAGGAGAGGCCGCCCTGGCGAAGGGGCCTCTCTCGGGGGCCCCCCTGGCCGCGAGCCGGGCGGGCCGCGCGGTGACCTCGGCAGAGCCCCGACGACCTCCCGCCGCGCGGCGCGTCGCCGCACGGCGCTCTGGGGGCACCTCGGGGGGGGGGCCCGCGGTCGCTCGAGGCGTCCTCGGGGAGGACGGCCCGAGGCCCGAACCCCGAGAATCCCCACGGACCCGCCATGCCTCGCCATCGCTCGGACGTCCCTTCCCTGTGTTTTTTTCGGCTTCGTGCGTGGCTTCTTTTCGCCGATTGATCAGGGATGCTCCTCGGTGGTCCTCGCCGAAAGACAAATGCACACGTCCGAGCGATGCCAAGATGCGGCGTGGTCACCGCACCGTTTGGGGGGGGCCCCGCGCCCCGCCCGCGCCGCGAGGGGCGCCGACGAGCGGGCGCCTGGGGCGGCGCCCCGGGCGAGCGGAGAGATGCCACGCGCCGGCTGCCCCTGGCCCGCGTCAGTCGTCGTCCTGGTCGTCGTCCAGCGCCTCCTCGAGGAACTCGATGAACTTCTCCATCACCTCGCTGGAGGCGTGGGTCGCCCCAAGCAGTGCTTTGTCCTCTTCGTGCTCGTGGTGCCTCGTGCTCCCTCCCTTCCCTTCCGCCGTGGCTGCAAGACGAGATCGGGACGGAGACGACCCACGACATCGCCAGGACACCGTTTGGGTCGATCCCTGTCTGGAGGTGCCCCACCGGGGGGCGCCGTGGGCCCGCCTGCCAGTGTGCATCACGGGGAGGGGGTGGGTACCGTCGCCCTCGGGCCTCGCGCGGAACCCACCCCCACGCCTTCGGAGGTTGGCGAAGCGTTCGTTGGATCTGCGCTTTGAGCAGGGACCAACCGTCCCGGCATGCCTGTAGGCCTGCCACGAAATTGTCTTAGTACCCGAACGTGTTCGAATAACGAAAGCCATGTTCTTAGAATATCAACCCGATGTGCAACAAAAACAAGACAGCGTCAGCCAGATTTTTTCCTAGAGCAGATCGTGCAAACCACCCTTGGGTCTTCGAACGCCTATGGGCGAGCCAGGACGCTTCGCCACTGCTTGAGCGCTGGACGCCCCTCCCTGGCACGCGGAGCGCGCCAGAGGCGGCGCTGGAGGCGCCGCCAAGGGGGGCCCAGCGCAGATCCGAGAACACTGCACGGAGCTCAGAAAAATCGTGCAGATACCAGTGCTGTTGAGGGGATACGCTGGGAGAGCTGCCTTACCCTGTCTTGGTCGGCTCTGGGACGTTTCTGACGATGCTGGACCTTCCCCTTGCTCGATGCACGTCGGCACCCTGCCAGCAGGTCCTGAGGGGAACGGTACGTCGGGGGGGGGGGGGGGACCGGCTCCAGGGGGGAAACGTAGACGTGGCATCCGCGATGCATCGCCGACAGATCGGCGCTGGGCCTCCGAGCCCCCGGGCGGAGTGGGCTCTCAGGCCCCTCCCTGTGAACGGGTGAGTTCGGCGCGGTGGGCAAACCTCCCTTTAGCAAACCTCCCTCCAGTGAAAGCGGCCTCCGATGATTCAGGGTCGATGCGCGCCCCCTGAGCCAGTTTCCCCCCGCTGAGCCAGTCATACCTCGGCTCCCCGGCGCCCGGTCGTGACGATCCGGACAGCCCCGGAGAGCTCTCGGCGAGGCGACGCCGCTGCCAGGCGTCCCGAGGCTGGAAGGCCGCCGGGAGCCGACGGGAACGCCCGAAGACCTCGAGCCTCGAGCCTCCGAGCGCTGCCTTCTGCCGCGTCGCCTGGCCAGCCGCCAGCGCCAGTGCGCGCGCGCGCGCCGATCTTAGCGCCACGTTGCCCCTGAGTCCAGCTCTTCTGGCAGACGCTGGGGGGGAATCCTTGCTGTTCCGTTTTCCACAGCTCGCTGTTGACTCGACCACCACGGTCTGAAAACGACGCCCTGGAATGCGGGCGTCAGGCAAGCGGCATGGTGATTCAGTGATACATAAAGCTGTACGGAACAAATTTGGGGAACGAGCTGCAAGAGAACGAGCAGGTGGGCCTCGGGGCCGATTCCGGACCCGAGAGCCTAACAAAAATGGCGCCCCAAACAAAAAGAAGACGTAGATATCGAGAACGGGAACAAATAACACGCCCAAAAGTTTTCGCGCGCCGATCCCTGCCCAACGTTGCCCCGGAGGTCCTCGTCGTCAATCACGTCGATCTCCCGGATCGCCATCAGGCTGCCGACCAAGCCGCACGCGAGGCCCGCCGGAGGCACGCCCGCCTGGCAGGCCGAGATGCCGGCCTCGACGCCCTGGATGACGGCGTCGGCGCCCTCCAGGGCGTCGTTGACCTTCGAGGAAAAGACAAATCCGCCGAGCCTGTCGGCGTGTGTGAAGGGCTTTTCCGCTCGAGTCGTCGTCTTCGTCGTCGTCGTGGTCGCCGCTCCCCCTCCAAGAGGTCGAGGGAGATCAAGCAACGCCGCAATCGAGTCAAAGGGACGCCCAGTCCCTTTGATCCCTCACCGGGGGGAGCCACTGGGGGGGGTGGCACCAAGGAGGGGGGGGAGCCCGAAAATGGCAGAAATTACAACCAACTACGACGGATTACAACCATTTCGGCCCCATCCCACCCAAATGGTACCAATTGCAACCGCTTCTCAAGCTTTGTAACAGTTTTGAAACAGTTTCTTGCAGGGCTCCTCAGAGGATCCTTTGAAGCTCAACAGAAGCTCCTCAGAAGCTCCTTGGAAGCTCCTCAGAAGCTCCTCCGAAGCTCCTAAGAAGCTCCACAGAAGCTCCTTGGAGGATCCTTCGAGGCTCCTCAGAGGCTTCTTAGAAGCTCCTTAGAGGCTCCTTGGAGGCTCCTTATGCTCCTTAGAGGCTCCCTCGAAGCTCCTTACAGGCTTCCCGGCCGCTCCTTAGAGGCCTCTTCTGCAGCTCGTTAGAAGCTCCTGAGAGGCTCCCGAGAAGCTTCTTAGACGCTCCATGGAAGCTCCCGAGAGGTCCTGCGAGGCTCCTTACAAGAACTTCAAGGTTTCCTCGAGGATTTCTAAAAAGGATTTCTGGAGGACTGCTGGAGTATGCCCGAAGGATTTCTGGAGGATTGCTGTGCTGCTAGATGGATGTCTGAAGGATTTCCCAGAAAGATTTCTGGAGAAATTGAACCTGGGAACTCCTGGAGGAGGAGGAGGAGGAGGAGGGAAGAGGCAGGAAAGGAAGAAAGAAGGAACGGCCGAGGAGAACAAGGATGATTCGTCTGGCTTGTGATCTGAATGGTTGTGAACGGTGTGTATGTATGTGGTGTGAATATATGTTGTTGTGTTGGATATATGTTGTTGCTGTGAGGAGATATGTGTTGTTGCGACTTGCTGCTGCAAAACAACACAGATCCCAAATCCCATAGGAAGTAAACTCATACCAATTCTGGGCCAGTCATGTTGACTTCCAAAATGACTGTGTACCCTTAAGACGTACATGCCATGTCTGGATCTTTTTCAAATGCTGTGCTACAGGAGTCCCATCATAGGCCCCAGATAGCCAATTGTAATTGGTACCAGTTGGTTTTTCGGCCGGTTGAGAAGTGGCCTGGTCGGTTATAATTGGTACCAGTCGGTTGGGATTGGTCCGACATGCGGGGGAGTCCGCGGGGTTTGTAACCCCTCCCCGCAGGGGGCAGCACACCTCCCAAGGAGAAGCTCTTGGCTCCAGAGCGTCAGCGTCGTCGCCGTCATCGCCATCGTTGTTGTGATCGTCGTATTCGTCGTCGTCGTTGTCGTCGTCGTCGTCGTCGTCGTCGTCGTCGTCGTCCCCTGTCAGGGTCGGCGGCACTGGCCGCAAGGCCTTTCGCAGGTCCGTGCACAAACTTTCGGAGGTCCGCGCGGAATTCTCGCATCGGCGCTGAACCCCCCCCCTTCATGCCACGCCGAAGCGCACCAGAGGCGGCGCCGGAGGCACCGCCAAAGACGGCCAGCGCCGATGCAAAGAATCCGCGCGAGCTCCGAAAATGTATATGTTTATATTTTGGACGCCCGAAATGGGTACGGAAAAACTGGGTACGATGCCCAACAACAAATGCTGTTCAAAACTGCAAGCGGCCGCTGTTGGGCAGGCGGCCTTCTATCTCAAACGGACACGGTCCGCGGCGATGCCGACAGCGAGTCCTGTTCAAAATCATGAGGGAATCCTGTCGATCTTCGCACCCATCCTTTCCGTACCCACTTCGATCGTCGATCTGTGGATTTGTCCTCTTCGAGGCCTTGCCGAAGAGGACCTCCAGGAGAGGCGCCCACCTCTCCACGCCCGGCCGCACCCTCTGCGCCACCGCCCCGGGCTGCAGCCTGGAGGCCGCCAGGTCGCAGCCCGCGCACGCCTCCCGGACCACCGCCCCGAGGATGCACCGGAGGTGGTCCGGCGGGGTCGAGTCCACGTGGCCCTGGAAGCGCACCTTCATGTTGAAGTCACGTATCGACTCCTCGGTGATCTCCTCGTCCTTCTGCTCGCGCATCCACCTCCAGACGCTGCCCGGCAGGTCCTGTGGCTCCGCGTCCTCGTCCTCGTCCTCCGCGGCGTCTGCAGCGGCGCCCCCCCTGTGCATCTCGGCCATCACGCTCCTCGCCTGCTCCTCGGAGAGGCCCTGCATCCTCAGCTCCTTCAGCAGCTCCTCACTGTCCGCGGAGGCGCTCTTCGTGTCCTCCTTCGCCCTCCTCTGCGCCTCCTGGACGGCGCGCCGCTGCGCCCTGGTCAGCTGCGCGGCGGGCGGCCTCTCGGCCTCCCCCGCCGACCGAGCCGCTCGCCGCCCCTGGTGGTAGGCCTTCCGCTCCTCCTTGCTCAGCTTGGCGAGCTCCTCCGAGGACAGCTCCGCGGGTGGCGGCGCCCCCGCGCGCCCGTCGGGCGCCCCGGCGGCCTCCTGCCCGGCGGCCCTCCCCTCCCCCTCGGCCTCGGCCCTCTCCTCCCCGGCGTTTCTCGGGGGTGGCTCGGCCGAGGAGGCCTGGGCGGTCGCCTGCGGGGCGCCGGGCAGAGCACTCCGCGCGTCGCGGACCGCATCTTCGTGGCGGCCAGACTTGCTCGCTATCGCCGACAGCACCTCAGAGGCATCGTTCAACGCCTCTGGCATTTTGTGGCACTTCTGGGCTGCCGTGGACACCACGTCAGCGGCCTCACGAGCGGTTTCCGGGCTCAGTGCCGCGGACGCCAGTCCCCTGAGGGCCTTGAGGCCCATTCGCTGCGCAGCTGGGACGCCCTTCAGAAGCCGCATTGCATGGAGCACCGCCTCAAAGCCCTGGCATGCAGACTCGGCTGTACAGGCCCTCCGTAACAGGCAAGCCTGCAGGCAGGCGAGACCGCTCACTTGCACCTTGACGTTCTTCGGGAACGTGCCCAAGGCCTCCAGTGCTGCTAGGAATATGCGCTCTGCAGATGCTTCAGAGGCCAGACCCACCAGCACATCCAGCAGCTGTCCGCAACGCTTTGCATCGCTTGTAGCGTTCATGCCTGCAAGAAGGGGCTCCAGGGCTTCAACCCGCAAGCCGTTTCGCAACTCGGGCGCTGCTCTCACGATGCCAGCCAGCGCTGTGACGGCATTTCCTGATTCATGATCGAGCTCTGCCAACAAACCAGAAATCAATTTGTCTCCGTCAGAAGAGGCAACTGCCGCCACACGTTCGCGCACTGATCCGCAATGATCACCGTTCGGGTCCACGGCTTTGCTGATCACTTCCAAAGAAACATCTCGAACACGTCTCGCCACATTTCCAAGTCCTGCGTTGGTGTCCATGGCCAAAGCCCTCGATATGAGCATAACCCCTCCACTCTCAACGACGCTCACCAGATGCTCTGGTCTTTCGTTGCCCACGGATGCAAGGACGTATCCTGCCGCTTCTACGGCCAGGCTGCTGACACAATTCTCGCAACATGCAACCAGAGTGACCATGGTGTCTTGATCGATCTCATCCTTCAGGTCACTCGCAGCACGAAGCCACTCCTCCTCGTCCTGAATGCCCACAAACCGCGAGAGACACTCCTCAAGTATTGGCGCCACATTCTGCCTGAACATGTCCATCGCCTGGGCGCCAGCAAACTCCAGGGCCTCGGGGACAGAATGGCACAAACACCACTACTCCGCGAACCTCTCTCCCGCGGTGCGCCCCGACAGAGCTTGCGAGGCGAATCCAGCCACGGGGACCGGGGAGACCCTGGTACCCCAAGAGGGGTAGCTAATAATTCCCAGACGGCGCTGGGACAAATCGTGACGCTACTGGCCCCCTCCATCGGGCAGGCGGTGATGGGGGAAGGACCTGCATGGTGGGTGAAGAAGAGGACCCCAACTTGCCGTCGTTCGGACGTCCATGTCCCGTGCATTTTTCGGCTTCGCGCGTGCTTCTTTTTGCTCGATGGTCCACGATGATCCTCGATGGTTCTCGCCGAGAAAAGATGCACACGTCCGAGCGATGCCAGGCCCAAGGGGCCCCTTCGGGACCCCGCGTGGAGCCAGCGGGGGCCCAATTGGGGCCCCTCTGGGGCTCCTGCCGGCTCAAAGCGGGGCCCTATAGAGGGCCCCTTTTGGGGTCCTCTTCTCTTCACCCCCCAAATTGGGCCACGCCCCATCACCACGCGCTCACGTCCACCCCCCCCCATCCCCTCCCCGGCAACGTTCGCTGTGGCCATGGGATTCGGTCGGGCATGTCCTTACAGACGGATTCTGCATGGAAGAAACGTTAAACATGTTCCAGAAAGCTACAAAATAGTAGAAACATCGCCCCCAGACCATTGCTGGACTATTTTCGAACACTCCTCCTGTAGAGGGACGTGCCCGACTTTACCATGTGGGATGGACACACGACGTGCCCCGACACGGCGCAGACGAGGCAAGGGCATCGCCCTCGGTGTCTTTTGGTGGTCTCCAAACCAAGTGATGAGACACCCGGTGGTGACCCCGATTCCCCCAAACGATAATTCTGGGTCGCCACCGGGTTTGGGGACACGCGGTCGCCACGAGGTTTTGCGTTTCCTGGGCCAGCCAGCGCTCGAAAACCACTACCCAAATCGCCCAAAACTCACCACCGGGTGTTCTCACCACCACGTTTGGGGACCACCAAGTCTTCCCTACCCCCGGTGGCCTCCCTGTAGCTGAAGACATCTTCGTGCAGGTCCTGCACCTCGGAGAGGACGCCCCCCGGGGGCTCGTCGGCGAAGCGCACCCTCCGCGGGTGCCCGCCACGGATCGCCCTGGCCCGGAGGAGCCGGAGAGCGGCTGCGAGCTCGTCCGCGGCACCGGGCGCGTGCTCCATGGGGGGCCCGCGGGCTCAGTTATGGCGTGGCCTCCGCCTGCACCATGCTGTTGTTGGATCCCCTGGAGGCGTCGCGGGCCACATGGCCAGGCCAACGGCCGAGAGCATCGCCGCAGCCAAGATCGTCTACAGACGGCCCTCCTGGGGTCCGACACAGGTGGTCAACAGGGATGAGCTTGTGCAGCCGTGTTGCTTTCGCACGCACCTTGACACCACCAGGCCTCAGGCTACACCGGCCCGAGGCCGCTCTGAGGGCCACCAGGCGCACCCGAAGCTTCCCATTCCCAGACGCTGAAGAACCTGCCAGACGTTCCGAGCAGGCTCCGAGACGGCCTCAGGAGCTCAAGGAGTCACCAGCATGAACAGGTCGTGGCAGGATGGAGACGGAGGAGGGGAGGAGGGAGGAGGGAGGAGGGAGGAGGGAGGAGGGGGAGGAGGAGGAGGAGGAGGACGAGGAGGAGGAGGAGGAGGAGGAGGAGGAGGAGGAGGAGGAGGAGGAGGGGCGAACAAGAAAACCATCCTCTGACCGATCCGACACCCCATCGCGGACCCCGCCAAGACCGCTGCAGAGGCTCATGCCTGAGATCCTTCCAGGACGGACAGAGCCTGGCGCTCGTGCCGCAGTGTGTATTGCTGTCGGGCGCTACACGAACAAAAAAGAAAGTGCATGTTGTCGCGACTCGTGCGCGGATCTGTTTGGGAGCTTAAAGGGCCTTGGAAACGACAGGGCCGTTTTGTTTGATACCGGTTCCGCTTGGCCGTTTTTGTTGCCGGTTCCGACGCCGTGCTTTTGCCGGTTCCGTCGCCGTTGTTTGACCGGTTCCGGCTCCGGTTCCAATCCTGGAGCCGTGTTTTTGCCGTTGCCGGTCGCCGTTTTTTTTTGCCGTTTCCATTTTCAAGGGACATTCTTTGGAAACGGTGAAAAAACGCCCTGCCGTTCGGAGTTTGGGAGTGTTCGGAGATCGCCGTGTGACTTGGGGTCTGTGTAGCACTACAAACTGTGTCAAACTGTCAGCATCGTTGTCTCTTCTCTTCTCATAAGTGATCGGTTGCATCAGAGCGTCTCCTGCGCCTGCGGCGATTTAGCAGGCTGCCACACGCGGACAGTACAGGATCCCCCGGGCATCCTAGCTAATATTCGAGGTCGCACTCTGAATGAGACGCCCATCCTTCATGAAACCAAATGAAGCCCGCGCACAGGCTACACCGCACCCCACCGCCTACAGCGTGCGACTGCAATGCCAACGTCCTGCATCATATGTAATGATGCAGTTCCTAATTGGATGCATCCTCTACTATTCCTGTCCTCCTCCTCCCCTCCTCCTTTGCCCGCCTCGTGTAGTGGTTTGCCCTTTGGTGGTGAACCATCAAAGTAGAGGCTCCACGAGTACTCAGTCGGGGCGACATGCTTTTTCCCTCGAGGTGTGAGCCGCGATAGGAACGAGCGGTGAGCGCGTGAGCGTCAGCTCCGCCGAACGCGCAGTTCGGATTGGCTGTTGGCAGCTGCTTGCGTTAAGACGGAGAAATGCGCTCATACTGAGCGCGATCGATGTGGCCGATTCCAGAAACCCTGAACCCAAAAACGTTTTCACATCCTGGGGGCGCATCTTTTACTTCCGCCGCCTTCCGATGGCCTTCCGCAGGCTTCCGCCGGCAGAGGCGGCCGGCGGCCTCGTTTTACTTTCGCCGACCTTCCGCCGCCTTCCGCCGCGGAAAAGATGACAATTCCTTCGATCCTCGAAGGCAAGGCCCTTTTTGGAACGCCCCATGTGTGGGAGGGCTGACGGGAGCATAAGCGAGAGACCAATTGCCTAATGTGGCAATTTGATTGCCCAGCCCCCTCCCGGCAGAATCTTGACGCGTGCGGTCCCTGGGGCCTCGGATCAGATTTCCTTCCAGAACCCCATTGAACTTCACAGTAGGGGCTCGACCAAAAGAAACCTTCCACGAGAAACCCAACCCTAGAATCCCTGGACGTACATTGATGTGTTGGTCTGGGAACGTCACGTTCTCCATCGCAAAACCATCGAAAACCAAGAAACCTAGGGCACCCTCGAGGCAAGCAGGGTGTTTCTTTGCATGAGTTCCCACTGTAATTGTAGCAACTTCCAGTGGGCCATTTATTGTGAAAGAACGGGACGGCACTACGTATCCAGCAACGCTTGAACCGACCAGTTCCTCACTCTGGCGATGCCCGTTCCACGCCCAAGGAAAACATGTTTCGTCCTGGGGGTGTGCTGCTCCAGGTATGCCCACCGGCGGCCGAAACTGGGAGGCGCAACGCCCAGACGGGTTCAGGTCACGACCTTCCTCGTCCACGACTTCCCTCGTCGTCGTCCTCCTGCTCTGCAATTATCCCTCCTCCCGTCGCCATCCTACACTTCCCTCTCCTCCCCCTCCTCCTTCATCCCTGCCTCTTATGGATAACTCCCCCCTTGTCGCACTACCAGTGGCGTCGGTAGGGCGGTCCAGTCGTTTCACATGAGGCTTCCGTACCGCTGATGATCCATAAGCTTGAGATTCGGAAGAGACTACGCGGATGGAGGGCGGATCCTTTTCAACATGGGGCTCTCGCCTAAACTCCGCGCGCATTCGTCTGAAAATGCATGCAACAGCTACAACGGGGGAGGGCAGGGTCTGATCGAAATGGGGATATCGCCGTAGCGCCGCGCGTAGCCGTCTTGAGCGATGCAGCACCTGCACCGATGAGGAGCGATTGGTCTTCGCAGTGGGGCTCTGGCCTCAGCGCCGCGAACAATGTCGTAGACTACAAGCTTGGGACCATGCCAAGGATGGATTGCGATGGAATTTAAAAATGCGGCCCTCGTTCGACACGTTCGACAGAAGCTTGACATTGGTTGTGCGGATCGGAAGCGGGTTCTTTTCAAACGGTGCCCTCGTTTAGGAACCCAGCTTTGATGGCCAGATGCGCAATCTTGCCACACAAATCCACGTTCGGGGGCGGCTCCATTTCAAAACAAGGCTCTCGCCAGACGACTTTTTTTCATTTCCTCGTATTGTATATAGGGGGTGGCTCCCACATTGGACAGGACGGCTTGTACGGACCAGTGCGGATGAACCTTCGGGCGCGACGATGATTTGTAGCATCGCTGAAGCATCCTGGTTTGACTCTGCGCCTTATCCTCCTCCTCCTCCTCCTCCTCCTCCCCCTCCTCCTCCTGCCATCCTCCTCCTTTCCCTTTCTGGCTCCCCAGGTCCCCTTAGGCCGACAGAGGCCTCTTGCCATGGAGGCCCGCGGATCCCCCCTCCCAGAAACCGGAGCCGCCCAGCAAGCGCCCGACAGCGTGCGTCCTCGGGCGCCCGCCCCCCCCCCGAAGAACGACGACGACGCGCGCCCGACGACGACGACGGTCGGCGCTGGCGAAAGGGGGGCAAGCACAAGAAGGGGTTCACCGAATCAGCTGCATGCAGCCGGCGGGCCAAGTCGTCAGCCCCGAACGCCGATCCAAGAAATCCGCGCAGAGCGCCGAGAAATTGGAAGGGGCCCTGGGACACACAAATAAATACACACAAATAAAAAGATTGCCGATATTTTATCAATATTTTCTGGGTTTTTGTCTTCCCCCACACTCCCCATATTTTCCCATATTTTCCTAGGGATCGACAATTAATTGTGTCTGTGTGTTTTTTCCCTCCTGGAAATTATGTCTACGCCGTTTATGTTTGGAGGCAGCCAAGGGGGGTCTGAACTGGTCGTGGGGGCTCCCAAGCAGTAGAGCGAGAGGGGGTGATGAGGCCACAGGTCCCCAGACCCGTCCTGGGGTCCAGTTGGTTCCACTTTCCAGCCCAAATCCGCTTTTCACAGTCCCGCCCTGACTCCGGATCCGCCCTACTTTGGGGAAATTCGTAAGTGGGGCTTGGAATTCCCGCCTTACTTTTCAAGCCCCGCTGATGCCAATTTCCGCCCTACTTTTCTGCTGTTGTTTCCGCCCTACTTCTGTGGATTTTCGCTCCATTTTACGTTGGGTGCAGCAATTTCCGCCCTACTTGTTCGGCTCCTTATCGGTGGATTTCCGACGCAAATTTAAGTTGGACAAAAAAAGCCAAAGTAGGGCGGATCTGGAATCAGGGCGGGGCTCGAAGAAGAAAGACGCAAAGAGCCGTCTCGAAACCAACGCCTCGAACGTGCCCGCCCCTGCTGCTGGCAGGAACTGGTGCCGGGCCACCTGAGGCCCCCAGACGGCTCCAGGCCCCGAGCGCCGATCCAAGAAATCCGCGCGGAGAGCCGAGAAACCATGCCTACTCCAGATTTCGAAATAAAAGGGAGGGTGTCTGGACCCTCCAAGGCAAGCCATTTCAGACCTCCCCCGCGGGAGAACCCTCCAGAACATCGTCCCCAGACCCCCCCAGGCCCTCCAAGAGAGCCTGGAAAAGAGACCCCCCCCTCGAAATGAGACCCCCCTCTCCCTTTACTACGAAATCTGGAGTAGGCCGAGGAGCCTCCGAGGGAATCGACGCGCGCCGCCCCCCGCGCAGCCCCCGCCTGAGGCCTCGGGGGAGGTCGCCCGGCCCTCCTCCTCCCCGCGGCACTTCTGCAGGAAGTCGTCGATGACGCTGTCGGGGGCGGGGCCTGTGCGCGCTCTCTGCGACGGGGCACTCTCGACGACGACGACGACGACGACGACGACGACGACGACGACGACGACGACGACGACGACGACGACGACGACGACGACGGCCAGACACTCGGTCGAGGGCAACGCTGCACTAGTTGCGCCGCGGCGGCCGCGCGGCGGCAGCGAGCGCAGGCCGGTACATCCCCTTTGCTCCTCCTGTAGGGGAACAACAAGTGGCATAAACATAAAACTCGGAGGTCCGCGCGGATTTCTCGGATCGGCGCTGGGGCCCCCCGGCGGCGCCTCTGGCGCCGCCCCTGGCGCGCTCTGCGCGCCAGGGAGGGGGGTCCAGCGCCGATCCGATAAATCCGCGCGGACCTCTGAGGTTTTATGCTTCCGCCACTTTGTGTTCCCCTATCCTCCCCTGCCCTCCTGCGCCCGGGCTGCTCTCGCGAGCGGCGAACCTGTCCGCACCAGCGCCCTCGCGGCCTGGACTCGTGGGGCGCGGTTTGCTCGGACGTCCACTTCCCGTGCATTTTTCGGTTTCGTACGTGTTTTTTTTTTGTTGCTCGATGGTCCAGGATGGTCCTCGATGGTTCTCGCCGAGAAAAACATGCACACGTCCGAGCGATGCCAGGCGCGGGCACGCGGTCGCACGGACGGCCTCCGTGCAGAAAAGCGCCCCGCGGCCGCAGGCCCTACGGCCCGGCGGGCCCGGCCCGCGAGGCCTCGGACGTGTCGCCCGAGACTGAGGGGCCTCTCCACCACCACCACAAGTTGGAGGGGGGGGAATGGAGGTGGAGGATGGACAGGAGGAAGAGGAGGAGGAGGAGGAGGAGGAGGTGGAGGATGGACAGGAGGAGGAGGAGGAGGAGAGGAGGAGAGAGGAGGAGGAGGAGGAGGAGGGGGAGGAGGAGGAGGAGGAGGAGGAGGAGGAGGAGGAGGAGGAGGAGGAGGAGGAGGAGGGAGGGGGAGGGGGAGGAGCAGGGGGAGCAGGGGGAGGAGGAGGAGGAGGAGGAGGAGGAGGAGGAGGAGGAGGAGGAGGAGGAGGAGGAGGAGGAGGACCCCCTCCCCCTCCTGCTTCTGGTGGTGGCGCTGGAAAGCAGGCCCGCCAAAGAGCTCTGCCCGAACGCGGGCCCGCCCCCTGCAGCTCGAGGACGGAGCCTCCCCGAGGCCTTCCCCGGACGTGCCCGCGCCGTACAAAAGCACCACCTGGGAAGTCCATTGTTGGCCGTGCTCGGCCCCTGGGGCCCTCGCCGGGTCGGGGGATCGTCAACGACCGACTAGAGATGAGAACCCGCCCCAGGGGAAGGGGGCGAGACTCTGTGGGGACCCCGCGTGGAGCACATCATGGCATCGCGGGTCTGGGTCGGCGTCCCGAGGAAATCACGGCGAGCGCCTGAGCTCCGTAGGCGTGCTCTAGTCACGTCCAGGCGACTCTCGGACTGCTGTCGTTCAATCATTTCGGCCTCGCGTGGCCGTTCTCGGGGCCCGAGTCGTCAGAGACAGATGGGGGGCGAAACGCTGCCCCAGGAGAAGCGCTTGGTGCCCCGCGCTGGGGCAATCGTTTCGCTCCCGCCACTCGGAAACGGGAGCGGCAAAACTACGGTCGGGAAGTTCTGCTTCGCGTGTCGCGCCATGCCCTGCGAGTGGACAGCGGGTCGAGCCGCTCCGCGGGGCGGGAGGCCGGGGACAGCTCGGGACGTGGACGCTCGAGGATCGGGAAGTGGACATCGTGTCGCGCCGAAGCGTTCCTCCTCCCCCTCCTCCTCCTCCTCCTCCTCCTTCTCCTCCTTCTCCTCCTCCTCCTCCTCCTCCTCCTCCTCCTCCTCCTCCTCCCCCTCCTCCTCCTCCTCCTCCTCCTCCTCCTCCTCCTCCTCCTCCTCCTCCTCGTGGTTGGCCAGAACTGGCGGCGGTACACGCCGAGCGAAAATCCCACCAGCCCCGTGAGGTGGCAGAGCGTCGATAAGGTCGTTGGCGAGAATGCCAACACACATTGGTTCGACTAAGGTCTTGGGCTGATTTTGGCCTCCTGGGGGGGGGGGGCGACGCTAATTGGACCCCCTCCCCTTTTTCGATCGAACTCCTTCAAGATGGCCCCAGGCCCCAAGAGGCACCCGATGCCCGCAAGATGCCCCAACAGGCTCCCACCCATGATAACCCCAAGAGGCCCCAAGAGGACCCCCCGAGGCACCCAAGACGCTTCAAGAGGCTCCTGGGTCCGCCAGGAGGCCCTTACGACGCCCTAACGGACCTACAAGAAGTTTCCGAAAGACATCCGAAGGGACCAAGGCCTTCCTGTTAGCCCTCCTCTTCCTCCTCCTCCTCCTCCTCCTCCTGCTCTTCCTCATCCGTCTAATCCTCCTCCTCCGTCCTCCTTCCTCCCTTCTGCCTCCTTCGTCTTTCATCCCTCCCTCCCTCCCTGACTCCCTCCCTCCCCATCTTCCTCCTCCTTGTCCTCGCCTGGTTCCTCCTCGATCTCCCCCCTCTTGGACGATGACGTCTTCTCAACCTTTATGCCACTGCGTGCTCCCCCACATGCCTGATCAAGGCAACTCGCCCGGGCATCGAGTCTTGATTGGCTGGAGAGGGTACGCGAAGCGTCTCAAGTTGCTGACCGTGCTCTGTCAGTAGTAACTCTGGCAATGCATGTGGTGCTACCTATGTGGAGCAATCTAGGTGGTACAATACATGTCGAGCAATCCACGTGAAGCAAATATAGTGTGCAACTCGCAATTGTCAGCTCCACTTTTCGCGCAACCATCCCACCCACCCATCCGCAACTCGGTTTGCAAAACCATGCACAGGCGATTGCGATGAGTGCTTGGTGTTGGCTGGTGCGTCTCTGCGGCCGCGATAGCCCGCGCTTGCTCGCGCGCGCAGCGACCAGCTAGTTTGGCGCGACTGGCGCGGCCGTGTTATCATGGCAAAGTCGACATCGGTAGACACGATGATGATGGTAGCGATGCTGGTGACGATGATGGCAACGGCGACGGCAAGGCCAGTGACGGCGGCGATGCTGATCTCGCCAACGGCGATAACGGAGTCCTCGCGTCGCTGATGAAGGTTTGGGAGGGCGACATGCGCGCGAGCCGACGCGCGAGAGTGGCCCGCATGGTATTTTTCGGCACGGATCGCAAGAGGGCGAGCGCAAGCTTTGTTGGGAGTTCGTGTTGCGAAACCATGTATTTTCATATGCTCTCGGTGCACTCAATGTTTGAAATGCCTGCGCCACCAATGGTTTTTGAAGGATTTCGGAACGCGCGCGCGACGACGCGCGCGTGTGCACGTCGTCCCATTCTCTACAAGGGGTTATTGCGACAGCACGCGCGCAAGGGCGTTCGAATGGCGCGCGAGAGGCACGTTTGGTAGCAGGTCATCAACATATTGAGAGACCGGTGGTTGATTCAAGAATTCGCAAGAGCGCGGGCGTAAGCTGTGGTGGGGAAATACTCGTTGCGAAAACATGATTTTTTGTTTCAATAGGTTTCGGGGCAATCGATTTTGACATCGTTACGCGCGCGCGCGACGTCGCGCGCGCATGTATTTCGTCCCGTTGTTGTTTGCAATGGGTTATTGAAAACTGATGGTATGTGATAAACGAGTGCGCGCGCATAGTATTTTTTTGCATTTTGCAGAGGGTGGAGAGGGGGGCAAGGATGAAGGAGACCCCTATGTGGTGCAACATCCATTCTGCAATATATGCTGCGCAATTGTTGCGGACGGACCTGTGTTTTGCAACGTATATGGTGCAATCGTCGTTGTACAACCTATGCTGTACAATCTATAGTGTGCAATATACGTGGTGCAACTTATGCTGTGCAACTTCTATGGCGCAATCGATGTCGTGCAGCCTATGTGGTGCAAATCATACGGTTGTGCAAAATCTAGGCTGCGCAATCTATGTTGTGACATCTATGTCGTACAGTCTATGTTGTGAGCGATCAAAGTATGCGCCGCAGGCGCGAAACCTTTTCGTGCAATCTATGTGGTGCACTACAACGGCGGCGACGGGCGGCGACGAGGCGGAGACGAGCCAGAGACGAGGCGGCGACGGTGGCCACATAGCCGCTAGACCGAAGACATGGCCCAGACGACTGGCGGCGACGAGGTGGCGACAGGGCGGAGACGGCGGCCACATAGCCGCAAGACCGAGGGCACGGCAAAGTTCCTCATAACAGAAATAAATACCCCAAAGCCCCAGCACTAAATGGGGGATAGATATGCTTTCCAAGACATGCGACGTCCTGATTGCGGTCTATACGAATTCCCGGGAAATCCCGACTCCTATCCCTGGCGACGGTTAATCGTTGTTTGACGGCACCAGGGCCTGGAGAGGGCCCCCGGAGGCGGTTATATTACGAAGCGAGCATGTCTTGGCTCTAACCCGCGGAAAGTGAACAACACATGGATGCCCCAGGTATTGACTTTTCTCTGGGGCGCGAGAACTGTCGTGGCTGGTGCTAATACTCCCTCCCCCAAGCGCTGTCGTGGCTGCTGGAGTGGTTTCCTCCCTCCTCCCTCCTATTTCCGCTCGTCCTCGGCGAACGCAAGACACTATGGAAAACGCAAGTCGTTCGTTAAGGACTGCTCCAGTAAGGAGGTCAGCACGCAGCTCAGGATGGAATCCCATACATGCTCGAGTCGTGGCAAGAATCACGCTGGGAAATGTTTAGCCCTTTCGGCGTCAGAATGCCCTCGCCGGGATGAAACGCCGCCCCCTCGAGAAGGGGTTGAGACTTCTGGGGACCCCGTATTGAAAAAAGACATCGCGTGTCTGGGAAGTGAGCATGGATCAGCTTTCCACTTCGTGGGCATGACATCCAAAATGCTGGCCCGAAAACGGATGACGCGACCGTGCTTTAAAGCGGATGTCGTGCACGATTGGCTAGAAGAGCGAGCGCCTACCTTGGCCAGGCCGCAGGCACAAGCTCCTCAGATTCCGCACACGGGCTGAACTTCGTGGAGACTCCCTCCGACCCCACAACCGCCTTGACGCAGCGCCCACTGCGATCGGGGACGTGCTGAGCCAGGTCAGCGCTGACCCAGGTCAGCCTCGGGCCGTGTCGCGAACCCGGGCCGGCCACAAAGTAGCTCCGACATATGACCCCGGCCCCCGGGCCAGCGGAGGGACGGGTCGGCCTCGCGCGGCTGCCAAGCCTGGGTCGGCCAGAGGGGGGCCCTCAGGGCTCAGCAGGCACACGCGAAGGCCAACCCCACCGTTGCGGGCTGCCTTCTCTCTTGCCGCCGCCACCCGCGTGGAGCGCGGATGCCCCCGGCGTGGTCTTGTGGTACAGCATCTCCAGGGACTGCCCGCGGACCCGACTTCTGCAGAGAGGCGCGGGTGGAGTCGAGTGAGCAGGGGGGAACAACTGCACACAATCGAGAGGACACGTGAGAGGATACAAGATCCTTCCGAGAGCCACACTGCCCCAGGAACGCAGAGGGCATGGGACAGAAACGCAAACCGCACTGGCACCATTGCCTCGGAAGGGTCGCCCTGGTACTCAAAAACGACTGTACGCTAGACTCCTGCATGTCCCTGCGTGACGACGTAGGCTGCGAATTCTGACACCGCGTGGGCGAATCATGGCAGAACGATTTTGAAACGGTCGCCGCTTTCCCCATTGCGAGGGGCGCTCCAGACTGGCTCGGCGCAGGTCGCCGGTGGCCTTCCGCCTGCGCCGCCCGCCCTGGGATCGCCGCCGCGCCAACGCGGGGCGAGCTCACTGTGCGCTAGTCCGCCCGCACTCCCCCCTCCAGGGTTCCCCCATGCCCTTGTTTCTCCCACGTCAGGGGTAGACGGGGGGAGCACTTGAGATGGGCGTCGCGGAGAGCGCCCGGGAGGGTTTGGAACAAAGGGGGAAGGGCAGGCCGACGTACATGCCCTTTTTTACCCGCGTGAGGCGTGGAGGGGGCTGGTCAAGGCAGAGTCTGACTACCCATCCTTTGTGGTGACGTGTTCTGCGCCCCCCCCCCCCCTCCAACGTTTCTCCTCCAACGTTTTCTCTGGGGGGGAGGGGTCTGTGGGTTCTGGACGGGAGTAGGGAGCGACCGTCTCTCCCGCGGGCTGACATTCCCGTTCTGCCAGTCCGGCTCAGGGCGAGGCACGGGGGGACGTGTCCAGCACAATGGGACAAACGAGAGAGCGAAGGAAATTGGTCGATAGGGCATGAAGACAATAAGGAGGCGAACTCTATACACCGACGCTTTTTCCGGCCACGCACTGAAACTCGCACCGGAAAGCGGATCCTGGTGTATACGGGATCCTGGTGTATATATTTTTCGTTGCTTCCCCGGGAATGCGGTGAAACAACTATACGCCACACCGCCCCGACATCGTCCCCGACCCTCGAGAAGTCCTGGGATTGAAAAACAGCCCGCCACTGGTAATGTATGTGCTCCAATTCCGAGACACTGCAGTACATGGGGCAACCGTGAAGGGTAGCCTGGAGGATGACGGCAACCACCACCACTCAAGCCACACATCCAGTAGGACGAGATGGCAGGACAACCGCGTAAGGCGGCCGAAGGAAGCATGCGGCCTCCGAGAGATCGGCCGCCCCGAGGTGAGCTCCAGGCAGAAACCGAGGAGCCAGAGCGAGGGAGAACGTGAGGGGGAGGCGAGAGGGTGGAGGAAGAGCAGAGGAAGGCAAAGAGGAGGAAGCAGGGTAGCATGGAGGACGGCAGGACCAGTCAGAACACATCAGGGGCCTCCGAGGGTCATGGCCGACCAATGGGGAATATCGGAGACACGGCGAGTGGCCAGATGGCGCCCAGCACGAGGAGGGAGTGGATGACGCAAGAGGGCGAGTGGCGCGTGCCGTGCCAAGAAATTCCAAGCCGACTCTGACGGTGGAGGAGGAGGAGGAGAAGGAAGAGGAGGAGGAAGGAGGAGGAAGAGGAGACAAGGAGGATGAGAAGGAGGAGGAGGAGGAGGAGGAGGAGTCGCGGTGTCTCCGGCAGTCTCTGGCACCACCGGTCCCCGGCAATCCCCGGGGGTCTTTTTAAAGGTCCGCACGCCCACGGAAGTCCGGGAGACCCAAGAGACCTCTGGAGGTCCCCAGGAGTTTTCAGGAGGCCCACGGAGGCACGCGATGGATCAAATACGTCCATACAGCAAGATCCTCGAAGCACGATCCTCTCCTTCTCCTTACCCTCCTCCTCCTCCTTCTCCTCCTAATCCTCCTCCTCACCACTCCTCCTCCTCCTCCTCCTCCTCCTCCTCCTCCTCCTCCTCCTCCTCCTCCTCCTCCTCCTCCTCCTCCTCCTCCTCCTCCCTCTCTTCCTCCTCACCCTCCTCCTCCCCTTTCTCCTTCTTCTCTCCCGCTCCCTCCTCCTCCCCCTCCCGCCTTCGGCCGCCTCCGCCTCTTCCTCCTCTCTCTCCTCCTCTCTTCACCTTCTCTGGCCACGAGCCTCCGGAAGAGCATTCGCGGGGGACAAGCGGAGAAGCTCAGGTGGGGGCAAAAGAGAAGGGAGCATGCAGACAGAAGTCGAGGGGAAAGTAAGAGTCGACCCGCCTTCACGGGAGACCCCCTTACCAAGCACCCTCTCCGCAGCCCTGTCCTTCTTCTGCGCGAGCATCTTCTGCAACGTCTTGTCCTGCAGGAGGCCAACTATGCGCCTACACCGCAAATGACTGGCCAGCCCAATCCTGGGTATTCTGGCCCTGCATTCCCTGACCGTTGGCATGAATGAAGGAAGAGAGCGAGTCCTGGTTCAAGCAGCTCCTTGGCCAAGGGGGGGTCCCCTAGACCAGCTTCCTAAGCCGTTTGTTTGAAGGTTCTGGGGCCAGGGAATGCCCCCCTGGACCTTTCTCGGGAGCGGCAAAGAGGGGGGTGTCCAAGAGGGGGGGTGCAAATCATGACCGGCGGCATGTGCGCGGCCCAGCGGGGGGGCCAGGGACGTAATGAACGAAGAAGATTTTTTTTGACATCAACGCCAACGCCTCCAAAAACCTTGGACTGACCAAGGAAACGGGCCAGCAGCGGAGGGGGATACTGGCTCCCAGACCCAGACCAAAAGCCTGAGTCATCAGCGCAAGTGAGAAAGCTCGAAAGACCAAAAGGGTCTCTGCGTCCTGGAGCCCCAAAAATGTGCACCTGCCGCAGCATCTCTAGGAGAGGGGCAGGCACACAGGGCCACAGACGGGCGCCGAGCTGAGAGCGCAAAACAACCCAAATGCAGGGAGACTGCAAATGGGAAGGCTATTTCGAACCGACTGCCCTCGGCTGTGCAAGAGGGACAACGGCTGAGACAGCGCCCTGCCACGAGAGCCTCGATTGCCCCCCGTGGCGGACGACAGTGCAAGAAGGACGAGCGAACGCACAACCGCACGAGGACGCACGCCCAACGCTATAAAAAGAGATGTTGGGGCCAAGAGCCCCATGCTCAAGGCCACAGCAACACCAGCCGAGCCACAGTCGGGATGGAGTCACCCCCGTGCTCGGAACAGGGGAAAGTGCACCCTAGATGTGCTCGTACCTTCCCCCAGAAGTGGGGTGCCTGACGCGCGTGCAAGACGGACGCACGCACAACGATACTATACACAACAAATCCAAAGAAAGAAACATCGACCACCCACACAAGGACGACGAGCCCGCCGCCCCTGGCGCAGCCAGCGCCAGGACGGCCGTCGGACTCGCCCCAGATGTGGGGTATAGCACGGATGCCTGCCAAAAGGGTCAGACGCATCGGGCCGTGCTTGCCAAAAAAAAAAAAACGGCGCACCCACGCCACGGGACAACTCGACCACCCACACAAGGACGGCGAGGTCAGCAGTCCCTGGTACAAACAGCGCCAGGACACTAACAAACTCGCCCCAGATGTGGGGTATAGCACGGATGCCTGCCAAAAGGGTCAGCCGCATCGGGCCGTGCAAGCAAAAACGAATATGGAGAGGCGGCCCTGCGCCACCGAAACTTCAATCCGAACTGTCCGACTCATCCTGGCGGCGCCTCGCCAGGAAAAAAGGTGAGCCCTGTCGCATTTGTTGGGGTCCCTGCCTCATCTCCTGCTGAGGGGGCTCCGACTCAACTCGACCGCTCGAGATGGGTGCCTGCACAGGCACATCCGACGCACCGTCGGCGAGAGCAGCGAGGGCAGCAGCAGAGTTGAAACACTGGATCAGGCCTTCAGTGTCCACCATGACGCCAGAAATTCTCAGCTGGCACCTGGGGTGGAGGCCTTTGCACAAATATTCCCAACCCTGCTTGCACGCACGCGACGGAACCGAAACACACTGTTTACTGAGTCCACGAATATGGCCTCCGCAAGTGAGGCAGTTACATTTAAGACAGATAAAAGGAACGGAGTTGTCAGAACACGGGAAAGCCACAGTCCGATGGCCTAAGGCGTCCTGAGAATCTGCGTGGACTAAAGAGGACCGAGAACAGGAACCTGGAGCTGGCTTCGAAAAAGGCACGGTTCCCCCTCAAACAGTGAGCGCACCTCCAGATTCCGCCCCACGACCTCCAGTCGTGCCCTGGCACCTCCTTCTTCGGACTCTTAACCTCTGGGATTCTGCCGACCCCGTCCAGATCCACAGGAGGCCACAAAGGGAGCACATGCACAGCAACTTTTAAGGTGGCCCTCGCCAAAGACACGAGACGATCAGCTTCCTGCAAAAGAGCATCATCCGTGGGGTGAAGGCGGACCGCCTGCTTGGCACCCACATCAGCGTGGTGGTTGCCAAGACGGCGCCACCGCTCCTCAGCTGAAATCCCAGGCGCATCCAGGTCAAGGTGCGCAGCCACCTTGGTACAGGCCGCCAACCTCGAGACCTGACCATGCACCTGAAGAAAAGCCCCTGAATACATACGCTTAGGAGAGAGCTGAAGCTGCTTGTCAAGCGCAGCAGTCTGGACCACGTTACTGCAATCAGAATACACATGGCATTCAGAAGGATGGGTCGCAAGAACATTGGCCCAGGTGAACGCACTGAATTCAGCACTCTGAGGAGTCTGAGGGTAGGGGCCCCAAACAAGGGCCTTCAGCTCGGCCACAAGATCGCCCGAATTGTCGACCATGCAGACGGAAGATCCAGCCCTAGACAGCTCCTTGACAGCATGACGGGAGCACGAGCCGTCCACAAAAAGGGGCCCCCAGACTCTATTGCTGATAGGGGCTCCGTCAGGGTCCGTCTCAGGCATCTTGTGCCAGATCAAGGTCGGACCATCATCTTGCTCATCAGCCGTCCGAGGGAAGGAGTCGGCGGGGTGCCGAAAGGCGCCAGATATAAAGACAAAAAGCTCGTCGTCATTTCCAGGCGCCTTAGCTGACAGGGCGGCCTCAATCACCTCACTGTCAGTAGCCTCAAGCCGAGCGGTGACAGCATCAGGGAAAGGGCATTCCCACAGCCGATGGAAGATGGTGTCTTTAGCTCCACAAAGAACACAACACGGATCGACATCGTACCCGAGGGCCCTGGCGCGAGCCTGCGTCATGATGGCCTCCGTGGAGAAGGCTCTAATCCTGGCCTTCTGAAGAGCCGTATCACGCTTGCTACGAGGAGCGATGTATTCCTTGACGGCATCGTAACACAAACGATAAGAGATACCCCGACAGGCAGCCGCATCTCTTTCCAACATCCTCAGGTATCCCGCTCGGACCAGGGACCCAACAAGAGCAGGCGAGAAAATCCCAAGGGGGATGGATTTCCCCAAATCGTCGACCAGGGTCATGAAGTTGGGCATGCTCCACCCTAATCTCACAAGGGACATCCTCATGGCCGTAATCGGCCCAGCAACCTTTCTCCAACTACAACAGGGGTCAGAAAGAATAGCAGCCCAGGCAATCCTCAGGGTGGGCAGGGGGATCGCCCAGCTGAAAGCACCTGTCTGCCTGAGCCAGATATCTTTGCTCCATCGGAGAATGGGAGCTGTGGCTGCACGCCAAGTCGGGTCATTGTCCAGCAGGGCGAGCACCGTGAGAGACCTCAGCCGACTGAAAGGGCGCACAACACTAAATAGGCGTCGGCGCAGCAAGCTAAGGTCGTGATCACTTATGCCCGTGACTTCGGAGCCGTACGAGGCCCCCACCAGGGGCCCAGCAGAGAAGACCTTTAAGGCAGTAGACCGTGTAAGCACCTTAGCCTGCCGCACTAGGCGCCGCGCCGCTCTGCCAGCCTTGGCGAGCCTGGCCTTCATCTTGGCCGAACGTCCAGCAACTCTAACAGCACGGCCTGCCGAGTAGTCAACTCCAAGGTTGACAGCTGAACCCGTACAGCGCTGGCAGAGATGGCTGAGACGAGAAAGCACAAGCGACCCCACACACTTGGAGCTGGAAACAATGGCCGTTTTATCAAGGGCGAAGGAGCATCCGAAAGCTTCCTGGACGACCAAGTCGAGCGCATGAGCCCCTCGAACGATCGAGTCAATGACGACTTTCGGGGGGCCAGTCGAAGACAAACCTTGATCATCAATGTAGACGTCCAAAGAAGCAGGAGGCGAAAGGGGGATGCTATAAAATCTGGGGAAATGTCATGGCCCCCGCCATGATATCCCCCCCCCCCTAGTCGTCACCCCCCTCTTTTCCGCCCCCGACTTTCGAAACGGCGAACCAGAACAATGCCCAATTGCTGGCCTGAGGTGCGCCGCCTCTGCAGATCGCGACGCGCTCTCCGGGGCGGGAGCTGCACGAGCGGCGCCAAGCTCCGGGCCCCCGCGAGGGCCCGGAAGGCGCCTTCTCCCCTCGGGGGGAAGCGAATGGGGGGGCAGGCCTCCTCAGAGGGCGCCAAGGGCCTCGGAGAAGGCTCAGAGAGCCTCCTCCGACGACGGGAGGCCTTCGAGATTCCTTCGAGATTAGGCTTCGACGACGACGGGAGGCCTTCGAGATTCTTTCGAGATTCGATTCTTTGTCATGGCCTGCGGCAACGGCCTGTCGAGGCGGCGGGGGGCCAGGCAGCTGTGACGCTTGGGCGGGGTGGGGCACATCGGGGCCCAGTAGAAGGGCCCCTGGAGGCCGAGAATAGCTTTAGGTCGGGCACGTCCTCCTACAGGCGGATTCTCGAGGAACAACAGAACATACTCAACAACGATTCAAACGTACTCAAATGATTCACTGCGTGGAGCTCCCCAGACGTGCATCTATTCGCATGGACCTGTCCTCCGTGAGTGTCTAGGCGCAAGAATTTTCGAATACAAGCGGGCTTAAGTTGTCACGGTCTGGTCATGAAACTAACTGCGAATGAATTGGAGTCTGAATGAGTCTCAGGTTTACGAGCGCGTCTCTGCGCATGAGCCTGGGGCCTCCAGGGGCCTCCTGGAACCTCCTGGGGCTTCCTGGGGCCTCCAGGAGCCTTTTGGGTCTTGGGGCCTCCTGGGCCTCTTGGGGCTTCGAGTGGCCTCCTGAGGCCTCCTGGAGCCTCGCGTGGCCTCCTGGGGCCTCCTGGGGCCTCCTGGAGCCTCCTGGGACCTCCCAGGAAGGATTCGGGCCCCAGGAGAAGCCCAATCTATAGGAACAGACGTACATAAAACATTGCGGATTGGAGCCACAGGAGAAGGGCAATCTACAGAAACCAAGTAAAACACCAAGCACTCGTGCCCCAGGGGAGGCCCAATCTATAGAAGCATAAGTAAAACATG